GTGCTACTACCCCGGGTCATGGTGAAACTGGGAACACCAACAACTAAGAGGTGGTTCCACGCTCCTCAAAACCTCCTGATCAGAGGGCTTGCTGCCGGATGTAGTTTATCGTCTTACCCAGGACTCTCTGAATAAAGAGAGAAAAAGAAAAAGAAAAACTGTAATATAGAAAGGAGGTATATGTGTAGAAGATGCACGCTGTATATAAGAGGGAATTAATAAATAGAAAGCGAAAGAACGATTTGAATTGAAACGTTTTTTTTTACGGCTTATCAACCCTTTTTATGTTATTTAATGCCGAAACATTTTGGATTGTTACAATAAGTCTTTCTTTTTTTTCTTCGAACAGTGAATATTACATTAACAATTTTTTCTGAAAATAACAATAATCTTTACAAATACAAAGCCTACTATTTAATCCATAGCGGGGGGAATACATTCATTTCTTTCTCAAAGGTATTTGTACGTAAATTAAAGTAACGAACCCGAATAGAATTCGAAATCAGTACTACTGATTTCTCATTCCGAGACGCTAACTATTACACTACGCCCACATCCAAAATAGATGGAAAGAGGATAGGGAAGTTAGAAAAACAAAGAGGTACAAAGATGTTGCAGCTGTGATAGGCAGGAAGAAGGGGAAATGCAAGCATGAAAAGAGAGTGCAGTTGTGATATAGATAGACTAAGATCAAAATGCCACATGCTAAAAGGTGGTTAGCTTTGTACAAATAACAATAAGTCGTAAGAAATCATAAAGACATATTCGTGATTTTCCGATTCATAAATTTAAAACTAAAGCTATAATTATTTTCAAAAGTTTTCTTAAAGATGTGCCCGCGTTTCACACGGATGTAATTGTATTCATTGAAAAACCGAAATCTGTAAACTTAAAATTTAAAATCCAAATAACTTAATTGGCAGAATCGAGTCGGTAACATTCGCTGAAATTCGCTTTTCTCAATTTCAACAACGAATTTCGTTAGCTTTTTAAGTGAAATGCTCCTTTGACGATAAGCTCCAATACGACACAAGATGGATTATAATTTTGGTAAATTCATTTGGTAAAACTAACGTGCCGGAAACGTCCGAAATTAACCGATAAGATATTGAAATAGCATAGAAACAGCGATTATTTTTTTTAATATATGCATGCATCTCTTTAAAATACATCACAAATTTTATTATTAAAATTTAATAAAATATTAAAGTTGTTTCGAGAAAAAAAATGAGAAAAGTGAGATTAATAAAAATCAAGAGAAAAGAAAAAAGAAAAGGAGGAGGAAAATGGCAAAAAGGGAAAAGTTAAAGAGAGAAAGAAAGGAAAAGAGGAAGAAGTAGCGATAAAGGAAAAGAAAAAGAGGAAGAGAAAGTTAAAGGGAGAAAGAAAGGAAAAGAGGAAGAAGAAGCGATAAATGAAAGGAAAAAGAGGAAGAGAAAGTTAAAGAGAGAAAGAAAGGAAAAGAGGAAGAAGAAGCGATAAAGGAAAAGAAAAAGAGGAAGAGAAAGTTAAAGAGGGAAAGAAAGGAAAAGAGGAAGAAGAAGCGATAAAGGAATAGAAAAAGAGGAAGAAGAAAAGAAAGTTAAAGAGAGAAAAGAAAGGAAAAGAGGAAGAAGAAGGATAAAGGAAAAGAAAAGAGGAAGAAGAAAGTTAAAAAGAGAAAGAAAGGAAAAGAGAAGAAGAAGAAGGATAAAGGAAAAGAAAAAGAGGAAAGAAAGAAAGAGAGAAAAGAAAGGAAAAGAGGAAGAAGAAGGATAAAGGAAAGAAAAAGAGGAAGAAAGTTAAAAAGGGAAAGAAAGGAAAAGAGGAAGAAGAAGCGATAAAGGAAAAGAAAAAGAGGAAGTTAAAGTTAAAGAGAGAGAGAAAGGAAAAGAGGAAGAAGAAGCGATAAAGGAAAGGAAAAAGAGGAAGAGAAATTTAAAGAGAGAAAGAAAGGAAAAGAGGAAGAAGAAGCGATAAAGGAAATGAAAAAGAGGAAGAGAAAGTTAAAGAGAGAAAGAAAGGAAAAGAGGAAGAAGAAGCGATAAAGGAAAAGAAAAAGAGGAAGAGAAAGTTAAAGAGGGAAAGAAAGGAAAAGAGGAAGAAGAAGCGATAAAGGAAAGGAAAAAGAGGAAGAGAAAGTTAAAGAGAGAAAGAAAGGAATAGAGGAAGAAGAAGCGATAAAGGAAAAGAAAAAGAGGAAGAGAAAGTTAAAAAGGGAAAGAAAGGAAAAGAGAAAGAAGAAGCGATAAAGGAAAGGAAAAAGAGGAAGAGAAAGTTAAAAAGAGAAAGAAAAAGGAAAAGAGGAAGAAGAAGGATAAAGGAAAGGAAAAAGAGAAGTTAAAGTTAAAAGAGAGAAAGGAAAAGAGGAAGAAGAAGGAAGGAAAGGAAAAAGAGGAAGAGAAAGTTAAAGAGAGAAAGAAAGGAAAAGAGGAAGAAGAAGCGATAAAGGAAAAGAAAAAGAGGAAGAGAAAGTTAAAAAGGGAAAGAAAGGAAAAGAGGAAGAAGAAGGATAAAGGAAAAAAAAAAAAGAGGAGAAAGAAAGTTAAAGAGAGAAAGAAAGGAAAAGAGGAAGAAGAAGCGATAAAGGAAAAGAAAAAGAGGAAGAGAAAGTTAAAGAGAGAAAGAAAGGAAAAGAGGAAGAAGAAGCGATAAAGGAAAAGAAAAAGAGGAAGAGAAAGTTAAAGAGAGAAAGAAAGGAAAAGAGGAAGAAGAAGCGATAAAGGAAAAGAAAAAGAGGAAGAGAAAGTTAAAAAAAGGAAAGAAAGGAAAAGGAAGAAGAAGGATAAAGGAAAAGAAAAAAAGAGGAAGTTAAAGTTAAAAGAGAGAGAAAGAAAAAGAGGAAGAAGAAGCGATAAAGGAAAGGAAAAAGAGGAAGAGAAATTTAAAGAGAAAAAGAAAGGAAAAGAGGAAGAAGAAGGATAAAGGAAATGAAAAGAGGAAGAGAAAGTTAAAAGAGAAAGAAAAGGAATAGAGGAAGAAGAAGGATAAAGGAAAAGAAAAAAGAGGAAGAGAAAGTTAAAAAAAAGAAAAGGAAAAAAAGAAAAGAAGAAGGATAAAGGAAAGGAAAAAGAGGAAGAGAAAGTTAAAGAGAGAAAGAAAGGAAAAGAGGAAGAAGAAGCGATAAAGGAATGGAAAAAGAGGAAGTTAAAGTTAAAGAGAGAGAGAAAGGAAAAGAGGAAGAAGAAGCGATAAAGGAAAGGAAAAAGAGGAAGAGAAAGTTAAAGAGAGAAAGAAAGGAAAAGAGGAAGAAGAAGCGATAAAGGAAAAAAAAAAAGGAAGAGAAAGTTAAAATGGAAAGAAAGGAAAAGAGGAAGAAGAAGGATAAAGGAAAAAAAAAGAGGAAGAGAAAGTTAAAAAGAGAAAAAGAAAGGAAAAAGAGGAAGAAGAAGGATAAAGGAAAAGAAAAAAGAAGAAGAAAGTTAAAAAAGGGAAAGAAAGGAAAAGAGGAAGAAGAAGCGATAAAAGGAAAGGAAAAGAGGAAGAGAAAGTTAAAAGAGAAAGAAAGGAAAAGAGGAAGAAGAAGGATAAAGGAAAGGAAAAAGAGGAAGTTAAAGTTAAAAGAGAGAGAAAGGAAAAAAGAGGAAGAAGAAGCGATAAAGGAAAAGAAAAAGAGGAAGAGAAAGTTAAAGAGAGAGAGAAAGGAAAAGAGGAAGAAGAAGCGATAACGGAAAAGAAAAAGAGGAAGAGAAAGTTAAAGAGAGAGAGAAAGGAAAAGAGGAAGAAGAAGCGATAAAGGAAAGGAAAAAGAGGAAGAAAGTTAAAAAGAGAGAGAAAGGAAAAAGAGGAGGAAGAAGAAGGATAAAGGAAAGGAAAAAGAGGAAGAGAAAGTTAAAAGAGAAAGAAAGGAAAAGTGGAAGAAGAAGGATAAAGGAAAGGAAAAGAGGAAGTTAAAAGTTAAAAAGAGAAAGAAAGGAAAAGAGGAAGAAGAAGCGATAAAGGAAAGTAAAAAGAGGAAGTTAAAGTTAAAGAGGGAAAGAAAGGAAAAGAGGAAGAAGAAGCGATAAAGGAAAGGAAAAAGAGGAAGAGAAAGTTAAAGAGAGAAAGAAAGGAAAAGTGGAAGAAGAAGCGATAAAGGAAAGGAAAAAGAGGAAGTTAAAGTTAAAGAGAGAAAGAAAGGAAAAGAGGAAGAAGAAGCGATAAAGGAAAGGAAAAAGAGGAAGTTAAAGTTAAAGAGGGAAAGAAAGGAAAAGAGGAAGAAGAAGCGATAAAGTAAAAGAAAAAGAGGAAGAGAAAGTTAAAAAGGGAAAGAAAGGAAAATAAAAATAAAAAAATGAAGAATTGAAAAAGGAAGAAAATTTAATAAGAGAAAGAAAAGGAAAAGGAAAAGAAGAAGAGATGAAGGAGTGTGAAAAGTTGAAGGAAAAGTTAAAAGGGGAAAGAATGGAAAAGAAAAAAACGCAACAATGAAGGACGAAAAAAAGAAAGAGGAAAGAAGAGTTAATGTGGGAAAAATAGAAAAATAAGAAGAGAAGTTATAGGACGGGGAAAAGAGGGTAAAAAAAGTTAAAGAGAGGAAGTAAAGAAAAGGGAATGAAGAAAAGAAGTAAAGCCGATAAAACACGTGAGAAAAGTAAAGAAAAGAAAAAGAATAAAGGAAGGTTAATGAGATAAAGAAAGGAAAAGAAAAAGAAGAAACAATGAAGGAGAGGGAAAATGGAAGAAAAAGTTAAAGGAAGAAATAAAGAAATAAAAATAGAAAGAGGCAAGATGAAGAACGTGAAAAAGAGAAAGGAAAAGAAGAAAAGAAAAAGTTACAGATAGAGTGAACGTAATAAAAGAACACAAAAAAGAGTAAGAAGAGCGAAAGGTGGGTTGAAGAGAGAAAATAAATAAAAAGTTGTATGAGAGGCGGCGAAAGAAAGAAAAAAGAAAGAAAGAAAGAAGACGGCGACGAGAAAAAGGAGAGAAAGAAAATAAAAGTTTAAAACGGGAGAGAAAGGAAGAAGAGATAGAAAGAAATTAAATGGATAAGCAAAGCCAGAATGTGCAGAGGAAACGGGGAAAAAAAAGAAGGGAAATTATTCAAAAGCGAAAAAATTGAAAGAGAAAAAATCGAAAAGAAAGAATAAAGACCAAAGAAGAAAGAGATGGAAGAGAAAGGAAAATAAATAGAAGAAGAGGAAAAAAAGAAAAATTCCAAAAGAAATGTTCAAAACGTAAGTGAAGAAGAAGAGGAGTAAAAAAAAAGACAACGGAAGTAAAAGATGAAAGTATGAAAGAAAGGAACGAACAGGAATGTTAGAGAAATCTTCCTTCTTTTAAAGAAAAGAGATAATTACAGGAAAGAGGGTGAGAAATGAAGAAAAACTGAGTGCATAACATACCTGAAGGGTTTGAATAAATGGATAACTGAACAAGATTAAAGAGAAATAGCAGAAAGACAAAAATTATTAATTGCTAAAACTGGGCTGTAAGCTGTAGAGGACCATGATCACTTTCGTTCAGAGAGGATATGGAACGTAAGTAGATGATTATCCACTGAGAGACCAGAATGTAAACAAAGTAACCCTGATGTAAAATATACGAAACCCATCATGACACCTATCGCAGCCAAATGGTCGGAGGTTTTGTTAAAAGCATCACGTAACCTTGCAGGTGGGGCCCAGTTAGAGATACCAGTAGATCGGCTACCTAGTTCGTTGAAACGGTGTCTGGTTGGGGTTGTTCGCAAATATCTAAATTTGACTCCGAACTCACATTGTATGCCTCATCTATAAATCTTTAAAATAATAACAGCTCTCTCAGCACCGGTCATGATGCCTTCTCTCTACTCTACTACTCCTTCTCACAAACAGAGATGCCTAGTGCGTCTGCCTCGTGGATACACGCGCAATTGGTTAAGTTCAGGCAACTGGCAAGCAAATCTGTTCTACGGAACAGGATATTTACTGTAGCTCATCTTAATTCACCATCACACAGGTACATGTTTACATATCCAATCATTTAAAATCAGAAGCCATGACAGCCATATCTTTTTTTTTAAGCGTTTCACTCCAAGCAAGGCGGGAAGCCACTAGCACGCAAAGGGTTTCAGAGTAGGAGCGAGAACAAAGATGAGTGATAGAGGAAAGGATGAAGAGAAGGATAGGGGATAGATCAGGGCATCTGGAGATGTCGATTGACATTACATTTGAATACTTGGATATTATAGCTAGCAGGGAAACAGGAAAAGGGGAGGGAGTTCCACAGGCGAGAAGTGCGAGACATGAAGCTATTGGAATAGAAGAGACGGCTACATTTAACAGTTTCGACAGTGAAAGGGTGAGAGCGAGATGTCAGCCTAGTTGAACACTTAAATTCATGAAGTTTGGGAACCAGCGAAAGCAGCTCATTAGAGCAGTTACCATGAAAGTATTGGTAAAAAAGACAGAGGGAGGCGACGGCACGTCTGTGAGAGAGCGACTGCAGACGAGATGCCAGATCAGGGCCAATTACATTGCATATCTTGGGTATCATAAGAGCATTTATTATTATTATTATTATTACTATTTTGGCTATTATGATTTCTGATTCTGTGGGCACTCGGATATACATATAAAGCGACAAAAAATCGGCAGGAACTGTCACAATTCTAAATATCTTTGTCAGTTAAAATGTCCTCATTTTGAGGAAAGATAGCTTGGAAAATATGACACTCCCAGGGCATATTGGGGGGTAAGAGATACAGAGAGGAAAAAAGAAGCGAATAACCTACTTAAAGAGCTTGTGTTAATGAATGACTGAACAGTAAGAAGCATAGTAAACATGCTAAAAGTTACAACAAAAAAGGAAATTGTGGAGAGCCGTGATCGCCCAAATCTTGAAGATTATTAAAACTTAATTGAAGTTGCTTTCACTTGCAATTCCCCAATATTTACATCAAGATCGTTGCATAGATCGCACAAAAAAACTTCAGTGAGACCCGAACTCCTGTTACCTCGAACGTTTGTAAGCTAAAGTACGGTATTACGTGCTGCCATAGAAATCTGTGATATTAGTTTATCCTTATTTTACTCGAACGTCTTATACGCTGCTATCGTTGTTTTATATACAAGTAGCAGGAGTCGTGGTCTTATTTGACGTGCCTTTCTTAACGATAGCAAAATGGTGAATAGAGAATGTCAATAAAAAGCAATTTTTCATCAGTGTCTTTTATATATGAATAATATTTTGTTGACAAATCAAGCAAATACTTAAGTTTAAATGTCTCGAAAATGTTTGCAAGTGGTGACGGAAAATTTAACAATTTAAATTTAAATTTAAAATTTAACAGTCAATCAGTCAGTTAAGTGACATACATGATACTCGCTTGTGTGATCAAGTCTCTTTCGATTCATGACTGATTAGGTAGAAGATTATTTCGCAGTAGGTTGCCGTTTATTTCTGCGATAGACTAATTGCTAACCAAGACTACATGACCCAGTCCGATCTGCCATTCAATCCAATTGTGGAGTAGAGACGGATGTATAAATTTCCCAATGGTGAGTAAGTGACTGTAATGAAACCGACTGGAATTCGAACACGGCTATCCAAGCCGCTATCCATTATACAACAACGCACAACCTAAGAATAGCGTACAGAAGCGTTATGTAATCAATACTCTTATACAGGTGGGGGACTGGTTGATTGATGGATTAAATCGCTTTCTACGGCTTATCAAGCGCTTGCAGGTTATTTAAATCTCAATAAAAAGCAATCTTCATCGGGACCTTTTATATATGAGTAATATTTTGTTGACAAGTCGAAATCAAGCAAATCCTTAAGTTTAAATGTCTCGAAAATATTTGTAAGTGGGGACGAAAAATGTGGTACCGAAATCCGAAGTTGCATTGCAATATCAAGAGATACTTTGGAAAACTGAAACAAAGAAAGCAGCAATAGGTCATTAGAAACAAAGAAAAGTTTACGTTAAGTGTCATATACATAATCGGGCGATCAAGCCTCTTTCGATTCATGGCTGATTAGGTAGAAGTTGTAGGTTGTTGTTTCTTTCCGCGATAGACTGGTTGTTAACTAAGGTTATAGAAACCATTCTGTCCTGCTATTTAATCCATAGCTAGGGGAGTAGAGACGGATGCATACATTTCCCAATTGCGAGTAAATGACTGTAATGAACCCAACTGGAATTCGAACTGGATTCTTCTTTATGTGACATGTCCCTTCAGAACGTAGGCGATCATGACTCTCCACATCATCCTGTTCTTTGTAGCTCTTAAAAAACTTTGTCTTTATTGCAAATCCTGTTATACCATCTATTTACTCAATCTCATCAAGTAAGTTGCGTGCTAAATAATTTCCTTGCTGAAGAGGAAGAGAGTCGAGGCAGTGAAGCTGTGGTTCCATAGATGTGGATAGAAATGGAGCACCTAGGAAGCTTTAAGGAAAATAGAAATAAAAATGATGCACACTTATCATTAGAAAGACAGTTGAAATTTCTGATTTCGAATTCGAGTCGAATCCATTACATTCACTTGCTAATTCCTTTGGAAAAGGTATGAATCCATATAGTCTCGAGATATGGACAAATAGTAAGACTGGGTTTTATAGCCTTGGATGGAAACTGGTCTACCGCAGAAAGAAATGGCAACCTACAGCAGGAAAAAAAAAACTACCTCGTCAGTCATGTATCGAAAGATTCATGATCGCCTAAGTGTGTATCATGCATGGCACATAACTGAATGACTGAATTCGGAAAGAAGACATGAAAAATTTCGCATTTACGGGATATATTAAAAGCAAGAGAGAGAGAAAAATCAGCGAAACCCCTTCGTCTTTATGGGTGGAGTCCTCCAGAATGTAGGCGATCATGGCTCTCCATGTCTCTTACTGTCTTTTGTTATTTTTCCAAAGCCTTGTTCCTCAATCCATTTAGTCAAGCTCATTAAATATGTCATGTGCTTTATCCTTCTATCCCTATTGCCTTCAATTTATCCTGTGTGTATCAGATTTTCCAAGCCTCAAGTGCCCTAGAAATTTCAACTGTCTCTTCTTGGTGTTAAGTATTTTTTTTTTTGTTTTTTGTTTTTTTCGATATTCTCTAAAACCGCCATTGCTCACATGTCCGGTCCATAGTATCCTCATCATCCTTCTGTAGAATCACATTTCTGTTGCTTCAAGTCTCTTCTTCATATTTGAGGAGACTGTCCAACATTTGCTGCAACCGTGCATTCTGTTTTCTTGCATTTAATCTTTTCATCTCAATTTCCTTCTCTAGCTTCTCTCGGCTTTTTTTTTTTTTTTTGTAGTTTTCTTTCAGTATCTGTTATCAACACTGTATTATCTGCATATCTTATGTCGTTAAGATTGTGGCCGCTAATAATAAATCTGGGTAGGATTTCTAATTCTCTCAGAATCACCTCGCTATATAGTCCGGTGAGAAGATGTATCCTTGTCTTACACACCTTTTTATTTTGTTATATCTGCTGAACTCATTTTCTATCCACATTTGCTGTCTGTGTAGGAACTTGGTTATTCTGTCATTCCTAAATATGTCAAGGATGCTAAGCTATTCCAACAAATCTTTATGACGTACTTCATCAAACGCCTTTGCATAATCTATAAAATAGAGGGACACGTCCTTCTGCATTTATATTGTGCTTTCTGATATCATTCTGAGCATAACAAGTGTAAATGGATAACAGAACAGAGACTGGGAAGTATAGTAAAAAAAGAAAAAACATTATTAAGAACTATTAGGGAATTGAAAGCTGTGGAGAGCCATAATCGCTCACATTTTTGAAGGAAGATTTTGATAATTTTCTACTTTTTCATTTAAACGATCTCTCATGAAAACCAGGTCGAATCTTAGCTACGCCGACTGGAACATCAAATTATTTCTCCCCAATCGACAGTTTAAGGCATACTTAGGGGATATTATGCATTTTTCCTAGATTGCTATTCTGGTCATAACCTCTTTGAAACTATAACGTTTTTATTAGGTTGAGTCATAATTAATTCTGTTTATCAGTTTTATTCCTAGTAGTGACTTTTTTGGAGATTTTTAGTTGCCAGAAAAAAAATCGAAATTCAGAATTAAGTCTCGAAGTTTTCAAAGGTCATTCAATCTATCAACTTATAGTTCTATAGCATATTTATCGAGATAAGACATACACACACACACACACACACACACACACATACATATATTTGAAACTTTTAAAATCATTTATTTTACATTCAACATCATCACTTGATAAGACACCGAGGGGGTTGAAACAAAATGGCTATTTTGTAGTGATTTTATAACATATTTATGTTATAAATTTTTTAAATAAATAATATATATATATATATATATATATATATATATATATATATATATAAAGGAAAAGGTAAAATTATTCTTAGCCGAAGCGTTTCGACATCTGAGAGAACTCACCACGGCAAATATCCCACTGAGGTTGAAATGCGTCGGCTATGAATAATTTTCCCTTTGTCTTTTTAGTAATTTTGTTATTTTGCAGATCTGAACTAATTTACAGACATACATACACACTCATATACACACGCACGCACACGCACACACACGAACACACACATATATATAATTATGCACGCATGTTCATGCTTTTGTGTATGTGTCTGTTTGTAGAAATGAGACAAAGGCGGGGAGACTTATAAACTCCGCGTTTCGCCGATATCTTTCGGTCTCGGCTTCTTCACGTCAAAATCCTATCTGTATGTATGTATGTATGTATGTATGTAAAGTTGTTTCTTACTGCTAAAACATATTTACATATGGGAACGATTCTAACAGGGTTGAGATGAAAACCCCTATACAAAACATTCAGCTTATTTTTATTAATAATTTACAATACTTTAAATTCGACCAAGACTTTACATGCTACTACATATTTAAATATGTGTGTGTGTTGCGAAAATAATGATGATTACCTTCAGAGAAGAATATACTCCTAAATAAGTGACGAATCTAATTTACAAATGAAGACACGAAAGCAAATTACTACGACGCTACCTACATGATGGCCAAAAAGACGAAAAAACCTCCACAACCTCATTTAATTTTTTTTTTTTTAAATAGTAAAACTTAATATACAAATAACATAAATAAATGAAATATATAAATGAATAAAATATATTTATGTGTATGCGTGTCTTCGTTTGTGTGTTTGCGTTTGAGTGTATGCGAGGTCATGAACAAAATGAGTCTAAGCATTAAGTTCTAAATATAAGAATTGGAAATTTACTTTTTTAGGGTATTCTCTTTCCATTATTTTCCCGTGATCCGCTACATACATAGACTAGTAAAGTATTAATATCACCTATAATATATATATATATATATATATATATATATATATATATATATATATAAGTATAAGAGCGCAGGTATGCAGAAAATAGAAGAAAAGAACACGTTGGGTGCATAATCCGGGGTTCCTTAGTACTTTTTTGTTTTTTTATTTTAAGAAGACAGTGATCCATACAGAAGTAGAGCTTATATTATAATAATATTTTTTGTTTAAAAAATATGATTCCTTATTTACATAAGAAGTTGAAATGTCTCAAAAACGTCAATTTAAATCATCAAATAATTATTTAAATCAAGTTGAAGATGAAACGAGACTAAACACGTCAATTTAAACATGAGAATAATTATTTGGCGAAGGAATCATATTTTTAAACATGAAAAAAATATTATTTTATATATATATATATATATATATATATATATATATATATCCAGAGACGCAAAGATGTAAGACTGTCGATATTCTATCGCTAATTCCATGGCCAATATTCAGGCGTGCTTCATTCGCTAATTCCGCCAGTTCAGCCCTTTACTAAAAATATATGCCATAAGATTTCTACTAAGTCGCACCACCATACTTGTTTCCATTGTGTTCCAAGTGTAAGAAGAAAAGTTCCATTCTGACAGCATTTTCCACAGAACTGCCATTATGTGAAACAGTCTCCCTTGCGATGAATTCACTGAATACTACATACAATCTTGACAGCTTCAAGTCAGAGGTGATTCGTTATCTTCATAATTAACATTTTCTTCTACTTTCTCTACCATTCATATCTCATACATCATTCATCCTAACCATTTCAACAGTAACCCTCTAACTTGAGTGGCTCGCGTGCCTTGTATTGAGTGAAATTTTGTATATATATATATATATATATATTTGTGTGTGTGTATCCAGTGTTTGCGTATAACCTCCTCATAGATAGATAGATAGATAGATAGATAGATAGATAGATAGATAGATAGATAATTACTTATTAAACCTATGCCTTTATGGATAGAATTTATGAAAAAATACGAAAAAAACTTCATTTATATTAATGACCATATTAGTTTGTGGGTTTGTTTTTATCGGCATATCAACATTCTATGGGTCATTTAATGCCGAAATTTAATTTTCTTGGGAGCTCGAGTAATGTCTTTTTACAAAGATCTATGGTGGTAATTTATTTATTTTTTTAATCTACTGCTGGTATATATTTCACAGTGAAAATGTATTTTTATACTTTTAGTTTACCCCCTAGCTGGGACCCTAACAGGTGCTACAACCCTGGGTTAGGGTAAACCTTGAAACTACAGCAATTAAGAGGTGGTTCCACACTCCTCAAAACCTCCCGATCAGAGGCCTATGTCAAACCCAGGACGGTATAATACTAGTAGACGGGATAATATTAATATCAAACTGTTGTCCTGCAAAAATAAGAAAATGAATAACGGTAACACTTTAATTGTTTATCCTAACATTCATCAATAACAGTTTAAAAGGCCACTGAGAGCAACTGGTTACACTCAACAAAATGGTATGAGGCTTGTGCTATGAATAAAAAGCAAAGGTCGTAAAACTCTTTGAGTCAATGATAAACACGTCAGAAATAACCTCCTGAGATACAAACAGTATGAATTATGCTTTTCTAGACCACTGCTGATGTTTTGCCGCCAACCCCATAATCAATGAAGCGCGCCATGTTAGCTTTGTCAACAGAGCGTTTGCCTTAAATATTCCAAAGACTTCCAAAATGTCTATGCATTCATCAACTCCTTTCTCTCCGGTAGGTCCATGAAGTGGTATGAGGCGTCTCCCAACACTTTCCCACGTCATAATTCTTTTTAAGAAAACAGCTAAGCGACAGTCTGAGAAAATAACTCATATTAAAATAGACGCGGAAATAATTGCTATCATTGATATTATTCGACGCTTCAAAAATGTTTACTGGACCAAACAATGAATTCGGAAACTGTTTAGTGGTGTTTAAGGCGTTTATGTAAAAAGATGTTTCAGCCTTAGTGGTTCAGATATTTACGAGCACGACATCGGTTTTTGGTCTTTGATATTGATAAGTGCCTAGCCTATGCGAGTAGCTGTGTAGAAATATAATGTTTTTCAGCTGAAAAGTGACTTTGACCACGGTGATATTGTGGTTCCGGTATCAGTTGAAGTTTCTGTGCAAATGAACAAGAGGCCTTACATTTGGAGTGTTCTCTGTCTATTTCTATTTTCAAGTGTTTAATTAAAATTCACTCGTTTCTAAAAGGCATTATTTAATAAATAGATACATTGAATCAAATTAAGTTTTTAACGCAACATTTTCTCTAATTTTCTCTAATGTCTGTTGGCTTCCATCCAGCAGGAATTTTGGTAATTTTCTGTTACTTCTACAGAGTTTTGATCATCAGACGTGATGAACTCATATGTACAGAAGATGTATTAATATTTATAACGTCGCTAAAAAGGAAAGAAAAAATATGTAATTCCATAGAATAGCGAACTAAACCCTTTATTTCGCTCACTGCGGTAGACTGTTCTAGTTCCATGTGCCATGTTTGATGGATTTCAGTTATCAGTTATCTCCTGCTAATTTCCCTCTCTCTGAAATTTCTCCACTGCCTTAGCCGGGTATTGAACTCACACTCTTTGGGTCCTGTCACTGGAACTATAAAGGGTTCAGTTCGAAATTCCAACCTCCTGAAGAAGACCGGAGCGTACAACGGCCGAAACGTTGTGATAAATATGGCGACAAAGATGAGGACAATAGTCCGAATAATGTAAATAATGTACATAATACCTCATCTCAGAAATATAGACAGACTCCATAGAATAGGGTTAGAGAACAAATTTTGTTCGAGAAATTCTTAAAACAATTTGTCGATTTTAGTGCTGACGATATTCGTGTTACTGAAGCAAGCTGCAGGAGAAATGAATGACATAGGGCTTTTGTAAAATATGTAGAAAAAATACCTAACGGGAATTGATCGAGGAGGGGGTCGTTTTTGTTTATTTCGTATCAGACACTAAGCACTGAAGAGTTCTATGAGATTCTTCTGTAAGAGTATAGATTGCAACATAGATAGATAGATAAGATAGATAGAGTTAAATCATAAACAGATCAAGATAGATATGAACTGATTGGTATCTATCTAACTATCTATATAATAAAAAGTCTTAAACACTAATATTAATATTAATATTAGTGTTAAAGCCTTTTTATTATATCCTTACTCTGTCCTGGACATGGAGTTCTACCTGGATTCTATCCTCTTGGAATTTTTTATTCAAAAAATATACATGTATGTGTATGCACCTATGTATATATATATTTATATATTTTGCATATGTATGTGTATATTTACTAGCAATTTACTATATATATATATATATATATATATATATATATATATATATATATATATATATATATATATATATATATATATATATATGTATGTATGTGTGTGTGCGTGTGTGTGTGTGTGTGTCTTTCTATATTTCTGAGATGGGGTATTATGTACACTATTTACATTATTCGGCCGAAACGCCGTAATAAATATGGCGACAAAGATGAAGACAATAGTCCGAATAATGTAAATAGTGTATGTGTGTATGTGTGTATGTGTGTGTGTGTACACTGCAGTTTAAAGGTTTGACCCTACCCCTGGTATTTTTTTAAATTAGCCCCAAAATGACTTGTTTTGTACTTGAAGCAAGAGAAAACAATTATACATGATTAAAAAGAAGTGAGACACGATTTTTTTATTAGAAATTTTATTATCGCAAAAAGAAAAAAAAAAGAATTTTATGATTAAATTTTGCACTCTTCAAAATATCCGCCTTTAGCCTTGATTACTGCAACACAAACTTTTGGCATTTGTTCCAAAAAGTTTCTCAAAGGATAAATTTGATAATTAATTCCATTCTTTTTCGCTGACTCTAAGAGCACTTTTCATTTTTTTTTTTTTTTAACATTTCTGTCAAGTTCATCCCATACTAATGCTGGGGTGGATTCAGACATTAGAACTGTAGTGTATACATATATACAGGGTGTATCAAAATACTTCTACAAAATTTGTGGGCAGGTTTCTCACACCAAAATAAGCTCAAAAGTCCATATAAACATATTTGCGAGTTTTTTTTTTTTTTGCTATTTTTTGAGTTAATAAGTTTAATGAAAGTTTACCTTAGAATCAGGAAACCAAACCAAATTTTGTAAAAGTAGTTTTGAATTGCATCTTGGATTGTGCATTTAACAGCGTCTGCTGTAAACTTTAAAGTTAATAACTCAAATAGGACGGATTTGTGGATATATGTATATATGAATTTTCTCCTTGTTTTGATGTGTGGAACACACCACCAAAGTAAATGTATTTTAGACAAAACCTGTACACACACACGCACACACATATACACTGCGTGCCAAATTATTATCGAGATAACTTTTTTCTAATATTTCAAAAACCGTCAAATTCACACAAAATTTTCACAAAATGTTGGCAACACTGGCCCGCGTAATCACTAAAAATTTCGTACTGATCTGCGCAATGTAAAAAAACTGGCGCCATATTTGTTATTAGCGCGGTGATTTGACCGTGCCAAATTATTAGAACGGTTTAATAAAATTCCCAGAATTGAGCAAACAAAGCGCTTATTAATGTTGCACGTGAATGTTTATGATCAAAAGAAGCTAATAAATAAGATGATCAAACATATAATAACCGCTACACACAAAGGCACAGTTTTAAACAAATTAATAGGGAATATGCTTTCCCTGTTTTGAAATTACTTGAAGAAGTTAACAATCCATAGAATTTGTTAATTGTAGGATGTCATCTGCTGTAATGCCGCGATATATGTCAAAAATTGCTTCCCACAGCTCAGCGTTGCTCCTGAATTGTCGTTCGTAGGCGTACAGTCTTCGCTTCATGATGCTCCAAATGTTTTCGATTGGGTTCAAATCTGGAGAATTTGCTGGCCACTTCATTTTTCGAGGTCTATCGAAGCCTGTTTCAAATATTCAGTTGTCTTGTGAGCAGCATGTGAGGGAGCATTATCTTGCATAAAAACAATGGCCCTTCTGAAGGCAACTCTTTGCCTTTTCACCCACGGTTCAAGATGCTCCTTCATAAACGCTATGTATGTATCAGCAGTCATTTTGACGCCATCTGGTACTCTCCATGGGCCCACTAATGTTTTTCCAATAATATCACCCCAGATCATTATGCCTCCACCGCCTTGTTGGCGTCTCAAACGCTGATGGCGATTCTGTCCGTTCATTACCCAGCCTTTGCACCATCTATCTGGCCCATCAAGTGTTGCTCAAGTTTCGTCTGTGAACAAAACTTTAGAGAAGTTCATATTGTCCTCGGCCCATTTCAATCGATTTTGAATGTGATTTCTCGTCAACGTAGGCTTCGATACAGGTTTGACTGTTGTTGCTATTTCCTTCAGATACCGACACCGAGTACTTTTAGACACAGCAGAATCCCCAATGCGACTGAAAAGCTCTTGACTGGTAAGTCCAAGGTTCTTCGTGGCCTCTCGTTTAAGTCGTGACATGAGACGACGTGAAATAACCCCTGGCTTGCCTTTATCTGCCCTTTTGAGTACTTGTGTAGGGTCGGGGGTAAACTTTTTCACTGTTTGATGACACCTCCCTATCATTTTAGAAATTTCTAGGGTAGATTTACCTTTTGAGAGTTCTGAGGAGATAGTTTTCTTTTCAGCATCACTTAAACTGCTTTTACGGCCCATCTTTTCACTAAACTCTTACACTTTTCTAATAATTTGGCACGCGCAAATCACTGTGCTGATAACAAATATGGCACCAGTGAATTGATTGGACAGTTTTGAAATATTAGAAAAATAGTTATCTCGATAATAATTTGGCACATAGGTATATATATATATATATATATATATATATATATATATATATATATATATATATATATATAAATTTCAAAGTTTGAATTAACCTCCCAAATTAGCATTTGAAAAAAACTTGACAGTCGAGTGAAAAAATACGATGATCCACTAAAAAGTTGCATATTAAGTATTTATATAATTAATAAAAATGTCGGATAAAAAATAAGTATACACACATACACACACAAATATTACTATTGGCCTATGTATTCGATATATATATATATATATATATATATATATTTGTTTGAATAAAAACAGACCACTTTAAGGTTCCATGTAATAAATTATTTCACCACAGCCCTTTTAAAGAGTCATCAGACTTTACTTCCAAATGTTGAAATGAAAAAATTTCTCTCTCTCTCTCTCTCTATATATATATATATATATATATATATATATATATATATATATATATATATATTCTTAAAGAAGTCATGGATGTTTGTATTCATTAATCCGAAAGATTTTCTCACTTTGATTGTCACTTTTAGTGGATAGCCATATTTGAGTAAACTGTCCGTATATTTATTAAACAATATATATATTTTTTTTTTTTTTCCTCTACCGGTTTCAATATTTCTAGAAAATATAGCGCGATCTCCGGCAGGGATAGAACCTGCGTTTCCATTTGCTGGAGAAACCTTTGTTAGATCCGAAGTTTTCTAAAGTGATAAAATCTGTCTGTCGGAATAATAACTAAAAATGAATTACTTCTTTAGAAATTGTTTTGTTTACATTAGGAAACTGAGCAAATATGAACATTCGAGTATCTGTGAAGGATTTGCGCTTATCAGGCTCAATTCAGCTTTTCCTGACTCAGCGACGACCTCCGTCGGAGGGAGACGAAAATAAATAAATATGCTGTTTAATAAATAAACGGAGCATCAACTCAAATATGGTATACATCAAAAATAATCTTTCAACTGATAAATATATATATATATATATATATATATATATATATATATATATATATATATATATATGTGCAATTTCCGTTGAAGATGACTGATAAAGAACAGAGGTTGAGTCTTTTACATAATTTCTCATGTAGTCATTTTTTTTCCTTTTCAGGGTATAAAATATTGTCCGAATGTTTTCCAATCGCTTTCGGTTACACTTTTAATTATTATCAAATTTATGATTATCTGAATCTATGGATTCTTTAATATATGTATCTAGAGATATAGGAATGTTTTATTTTCCAAACACGGTCAGCGCATTGTGACAGTGTTCAGAGTTGATATTAATGTGTATTAGCTTTTTCTTTTTTCTTTTTTTTTCTTTTTTGTTTTGGACAATTTTTATATAAGTTATGTTCTGAAAAGAAAAAAAAATATATATATAGTCGACAGACATACCATGTATCACAGTCTATCAGTGTGGCTAGACATGCGATTGCTTCAAGCACTAGGCCATCCGTACACGATAAGAAAAAAGGGAATTCTTAGCACATTATATACAAGATATATGCATTGCCGGCTACCAGATGGCTCAATTCATAGCGAAGAGCTTAGCATTAATCATTAGCAACCAACAAATTCAATTTCTTCCAAAAGTGCTCAACCTACGAGAAGGAGTGTAGAGATAGATAGATAGATAGATAGATAGATAATCCTTTATCCAAAAGTGAAAAATTCGAAAACCTTCAAAGTTTGAATGTTTCTCTGGTGCTGACACGACTTGCAACAAATGGAAAATTTCAAAAAGCAATGGGATGGTTCCTAAGTGATGTGCAGCTGTTTTAAGTGACCTCATCTGCCCCAGAACACATGAGTTTTTTTGCTAGCGATCGTCACGGCAACAGCTTCATTCGTGGATTACTTTCCAGGTGTTTCGTGCTCAATAAAGATATTATTAAAATGTCAAAATCCTGCACACACACACACACACACACACACACACACACACACACACACACACACATATATATATATATATATATATATATATATATATATATATAGTAAGTAGTAATAATGTTTTTTTCTACACGTACAGATAGTGCAAAACATTCTTTTCATGTGAAATTTTAATTTCAACACTTATAAATCTGTGTGAGCATCATAACCTGTATCTCTATACACACAAAATTGATTAAATTGCAGGATATATGTTATATAAAGCCACTTTCAAGGTTTGTATATAAGCTGTATTATGAAATGTAAAGGTTTACCGTGTTTATGCATTGTTTCCATTCCAGAGCTTACCATTTTATAGATACTATATACGAAATTAATAGCCTGTATTCCAAAATACGAACATAATCTGAATGCTGAAACACTTCCGCTCCCAAGAATTTCAGCTAAAGTATTCTTAACCTGTACATATATACGCTAAGTATATAAGATAATTTGGCAAATGTCTACTCTAATGTGTTTCGCCGAGGCGTCGGTTTCATAAAAGAAGAGATTTTTATTGAAATAAACGAGAATCATGTTAACGCTTGATTTTTGTTTTAAATGTTTCGTTTTAGAAATTAGATTTTAATTAAGTTATTACTTTATTTGATTTATTTTATTTAATTATATATTCATTTACTTTTTCGAGTCCTAAATTGTGGCAGCAATTTTCTTCTGATGAAGACAGTCCATCAGTGAAACATGTCAAAGTAGAAGTTTTAACTTATATGCTTATATAATCCCGTTGGATTCTCACTAAACTTCTCTTCGCAACTTTCTTGCTAGCTGACAAAACATTGCATGAATACAGATGTGGGAAAGTATTCAACGAAAAAAAAAAAACAACTTTAATTAGAAAAATTTAAAAAATTGAACGTGGCAGATGATGACTGGAAAGAAAATATATTACTTGGACGTATCTAAGACGTATCTAAATAAAAATAAATACTGCTGGAGAGTAAAAAGGTAAATTGAAGGAAGCTGCTGATATAAATCTTTTGGGCAATTTGTCGACTGTATTTCAGCAGTGAGCCGTACTTTGTCCAACAGAGAGAAAACAGGATTTTGCCATGAAGTATTTATCGTATGTTGTGGCCTTGTTGGGGCCAGAAATAAAGACACAAGAGAGGAATTGAGTTAAACAAATATATTAACAGAAACAGTAACACAAACATATACAAACGAGAGTGATACAACAAGAATGTTCGGTACGACTGTCAGAGTTGACTGCTGGAAACTTCCCTTTCCAAAAGGCAGTACCTGCTCCTATTTATAGCTGGGAGAGTCCATGCATGCCTGGGTAAATTACCATAACATGTATTACTACGATGGAGATCTTTTTCAATAAAATGCGTTCATTATTTAAATTTTTTTGCGTATGCCTAAGCGTGGGTGCACAGTTGTGTGAGCGTGTCTGCGCGCGCACGCGTGTGTGTATGCGTGTGTGTGCACGAGTGCATGTTTATTAATGTATGTTTGTTTGTGTAGGTATCTGTTCGTGCGTATGCATGTGCATGTCTTTCTACGTGTATGTCTAAGCGTGTTTTGGAGCGTGCAAGTATGCGCGTGTGTATGTATGTATGCATATGTGTTATATATATATATATATATATATATATATATATATATATATATATATATGTGTGTGTGTGTGAATATATATATATATATATATATATATGTGTGTGTGTGTGTGTGAAATATATATATATATATATATATATATATATATATATATATATATATATATATATATAAATTTGAGAACTGGCCGGGCTAGCTGCCCTTGATGAGGTGAAAGGAGTCTCTGAGCTTCGGTTAGCAATCCTTTCAGTGTTGGCTTCACGATAAAAAGACTTCAGATGGGAAGGAAAACTCATGACAACTTATATAGCATGTCTGCCGAGAGGCGTGTACTACCTGGTATTGAATGTGATCCGGAGAGGTTAAACTCTGCGATAATAATACATGAGGATTGTCGTTCGGAGTTTCCGTGGCAAGTCTTTTGCACCGTTACTTTTTTTATTGACAGTGTGGATGGTCCGACAGAAGACTTCACCACTTGAAACAAATCATTGCGTTGGTTTTCTGACACTAACATCTAATTAGTTCAACACATATCCAACTACTGCTAAAAAAAATCTACGAAACATCATCAACTTCATATTGGCACTTGGAATGAGCAAACTCTCCAGGACAACAACTCAGCGCCAGAAAGAAAAAAACAGCTTTGGTCTCATTGGAGCTAAAGACGTACAACATTGATTTAACTGCACTGAGAAGTAACCATCAGTCGACTGCATGAAACGAGAAAATAAAATAAGACATCTAACAGTGTTCCTGGATAGAATACATTCTCCTGTACTGTTTGTGTTTTCTTTTTTGTGCAATTTTCGATCCGGTCTCAAAAGTCATGCCCGTCATAAGCACGCAGATAATTAGTTCGTGGTCGTCGGAACCTTACACATCGAACTCGATGAGGGAGTCTATCATATATACATGTGTGTGTTTGTACCTGTAATGTATGTACAGCTCTTAGTTCTACTAGATATAACCTTCAAGGCGAAGAAAAAAAACATGCCACGCACATTGTAAGAAATCATTTCTTTAGTATTCCATTGGTCAAATGTAAGTTCCACACGAGCAGCTTCTTCCTACGAATCACTGCTTTATGGAACTGACTCCTTAAAGATTGATTTCGGCAATAATTTATTTCGTGAATATCTATATGTTCAACTCTTCAGATCGAAATACACCGGACTGATATATTAGATTGACAGAGGGAAGGGAAAGCAATGATGCTTTCCCGATTACTACAATCTTAACATCTTCAAATTTAGAGCTAATAATTATCTTCCCCGCATATACCTCCATAAACTATGGATTTCATATTTGTATAAAATATATTTTGTATTTGTAACCCTCTACCTTGAGTGGCTCTTTTGGCCTTGTACAGGGTGAACATTATTTTAAAAACAATTGGGTGTGACGTTTGTTTGTGTGTGTGTGCGGGATCGTTTTGAAAAGACAAAGCCATTAACTGTCAATTTTTTTAATGCTCATTTTTGGCCCAGACTGTTGTCTTAGGAGTTTATTTATTCCTTATGTTTAATTTCATTAGTTACCATTGTCGTTTTTATAGAAACTAGAACATCAAATATATATGTGTATAAAGCATCAAAAAATAATATTGGTTAGAAATAATACAAAAATACTTTTCAAAATAGTCATGATTTTTCTACTCGTGAATGTAAAATTACGACAGTCTTCTTACGGCTAATAATAAAAAACTTTAAAGGCTAAGTGTTGTAAAATATACCTCTGCAAATGCAATGTATGTAAGCAATTCAATGTAAATACAAGGAATAACATGTAGTGCGTTTAATTTTAACAGATCCCCAAATGGGAATCATAAAAGGTAATGGGTTAAAAACAAAGAAAGACACTAAGAAAGTTTATATTGTAATTAGAAATTATATTAAACTGAACGCGCACATAGTATTCAAGGGCAATTGTTTCGAACAAAAAACGGAATTGACGACCACATTATAAAAAAAATGAATTTAATGAAGTTAAGCAACGTCGATCCTGGTCAATACTTAGATGGGTGATCGCCTGAGAAGACATTGAATGTGTCGGTTGGTGTAATTGATAACAACTCGGAATTGAGTTCCAACACCAGTCGGGTATTTTATATGCATTTACTGTCAAATACACTTGGGAAAGGTTGGAATCGACCCCTTTTCCCACTCCCCAAGATATCTGTTAATTACTAGAAGAAGAGTGAAAAGGAAAAATGAAAGTGAAGAAGAGAAATGAAATAGAAAGAAAGAAAAAGTTAAGAAAGAAAGAAAAAAATAAGAGTGAAGGTAAGAATGAAAGAAAGAAAATATAGTTGAAAAGAAGAAAGAAAAAAAGAAAGAAGAAATAAAAGAGAAAACATAAAAGAAGACTGAGAAAGCCGAAGGAAGAGAAAAGGGGAGAATAAAAAGAAGGAAGAAATGTAAATATTTTTCACGTATATATATTTGAGCCAGACATGACTTCATTCAACTGAATCATTTTTGTAAAATTATTGTCCATTTATTCATTAATCCTTAACAGAAAACCTCATAAATCACACTAATTATTTACCAAACTTTCAAGAACATTAATTTAGGATCGAACTCGTTTCTTTTGCTTCACCGGACAAGCTCACTAACGCTAAACCCTCAGTGACATGTTTTAAGTATTTTTTACCAAGCTTACTATAGATTCAGCACAAGATTAAAAAGTATTTGTTACATAGCGAGGATCGAACTCACGACTTGCCAGTAATGGACAGTTTGACCAGCTAAAGGGTTTGTGATTTATATTTCGATGTTAAAAGTGGAATTACGTTTCCCTAGTCACCCATTATGTTTTTTTCAACCTCCTCAAAAGGAAAGTGAGAAGAAAGGACTAAACACCAATTGTAAGAAGAGATAATTTACGGTTTTCAGCGAGACTAACAGATCAATATGAGAACTACAAATTAGTGACACCCAAATCAAATGATTACAACAATTTAGATTTCTAGAAAATATTTCAACAGAAAATGCGACGGTGAAATCTAATGGCGCATTGAAATAGCAAACGATGCCATCCAAAAGCTAAGCAAATTATTAACAAACCGGTGTAGTATATTGCTGTCGGGCTCAAAAAAGAATACGTACCTTTATATATAAAAAATATGTAAACATCTTTATTAAGGGTATTTGCACTTACGTGCTAATACCCTTGTGAAAGATATGAATCCTCTTCTTCTCCCTCCAGCTATGGGTAAATAGCAGGACAGACCCGGTTCTATAGCCATGGATGACAACAAGTCTACCGCAGAAAGAAATGGCAACCTACTGCGGGAAAAAGTCTGCCTTGTCAGTCATGTATCGAAAGGTACATGATCGCCTAAGCGCGTAACACACATGGCACATAACTGGCTGACTGTGGCGAATTGGTAGAACAAAAAACTGAAAACAACGTCATTGAAATGACGGCCACATTATAAAAAAATATAAAGTTAAGCAAAGTCGATCATGGTCAATACTTAGATGGGTGATTGCTTGAGAATACATTGGATGTGGGGATGGTGTAATTGATAACGACTCGGAATTAAGTTCCAACTCCTGTCCGGTACTTTATATTCATTTACGGGCAAATACCCTTAGGAAAGGTAGGAATTCACCTCTTCGCCTCCCAGCTATGGGTTAATTAGTACGACTTCTATCAGTAAATCGTTATTATCTCCAAAAATTTCTTATAATCTAAAAATATTTCCTGGGTATAAACAACCTGTAAAAGGATGATAAGCCTTAAAAAAATCAATCAATTTCGCACTCAATGAGGATTACTCGTAAGCAATTGAATGGAATTTAAATAGAAAGAAAGAAAGAAAAACATTCACAGATAATTTAATAGCCCAACATTACGCCGAATTGACATATATAAAACAATTCCCCCAAATTTTTTAATTTCAAGTTTGAACATTTAGCGCATAGACCTACGAGCCTGCACCTCGATTTTAAATCGAATTATTTTTTTTTTTTAAATGCGAGCTGACACTTATTTCGTAATTTTAAAAGTAAACAATTAATGGGCTTTCAAACAGAAACGAAGCATAACGCATTTTTTCCTCTTATCAAACTTACCGATATATAAAAGAGAGAAAGATATATTTATTTTCTCTATTGAAAGTGAAATTTTTACTACTACTACTTTTAAGAAAAAAAAAAAAAAACTCAGGAAATAGAAAGGTTTTGTGCGTAATTTTTATGAAATTAAGTAAGTAGGGGGTAACATATTAAAAAAATATTTTTACCAAAATTTAAAAAAAATAATTAAAAAACTAATTTCATTCATTTGTGAATAAGTCCTGAAAATTTCATTAAAATCGGACAATTACTTGATTTTTACAAGAATTTCCAAATCAATGTGTTTCCAACGGGAAAAAGCTAAAAAAAAAACAACGTTATTTTCATACCGCGATGACGTAAACAAAGGAAGATTGTAACCAAAATTTCGAACGTGTTAGAAAGGATTAAAAATTTCAAAAAATAATTAAAAAATACTTTGGTTTTTCATCTTAATAATAACATAAACATTTTGACGATAAAACTTTATTTTCGTTAAGTTTGTGGCCTTTTACATTACGCTATCTGTTTTCCCGCGAAAAAGCTGCAGAGCCTATTTTATTGTAATGCAAAAAGGATAAACTTGAAGCCTTCAGAAATTCTTAGCAGAGGAATTTTGTAGTGGGGGTGCTGGGAGTGCCTAAGATGAGTTGATAGGAGTGGGGGACGTCTTTCATAGTGAATGCATTTATTCATAGCACTAAACTTTCAAACATTAGATATGAATTCAGCCAAAAATCACACTTTCAATCAAGTGATAAGATTTATTTACATCAGTTAAAAAATGAGCGAGAGGCATTTTCATGTGAAAACAAACTGTCACACACACACACACACACAGATACAAGCAGACACAAACGCACACACAGTGGAGAAGCTTGGGCGTGTCTGGGAGTTCGAAGAGAGGAACTTGCAGACAGGACGAATTACGAGAAATTCAAGTGACAGAAAGAAAGATAAACAGACACGGAAAATGCTTTGAGGAATTAGTGAATTAAATTGCAGATACACGGAAAGAGAAAGGGTGAATAGATAGATAGATAGATAGATAGATAGATAGATAGATAGATAGCTAGATAGATAGATATGATCATAATTAGATAAATATGGACATAATTAGATAGATAGATAGATAGATATTAAACAAATTAGATAGATAT